ATGTTAAACGATGTCTTGCCTTATGCCTAAAATTAGTGCTTGATAAGAACAAACAATTGTCTGAGCACGATTGCAGTAGACGGTTACTTTTATCTCCTCACTAAACCGGGATACCAAAATACCCACCTAAATATCTTTCTGCTTGGTTTAAGCCACCTACCTAAGCATTAAAGTCACCTGCTACGAGTACTAAGTCTGAGCGCTTAGCTTTATAAAGAAGTTCAGAAAACTTTCTGTAAAATTCATCCGGGCTGCAGTCAATGGGATTCATTCTAGAAGTGCTTCTTCTGCTCTCATATTTAGTGCTATGCCTACACCCGCCAATCCACGAGAACTTGCCATCTGGTCGCCAGATAAACGGAGGGCATATCTCGTCGGCTTCCCGTTTTCGCTAAGTGAGATCGGGTGAACGACTACACTAGAATCCTGAATGCATGTTTCGGAGACACAGCATACACCAATTGTAAGAGATTATACGGTCTTAGTCAAGGAGGCCTGCTAGCCAATTTGACAGGGTACGTACGTTGAAGGCTTCAATGTGTAGTTTGGAGCGAGGTTTGAGTAGACTTGGGACAGTATTTCGCGCGCTACATTCATTGACAATCTTGACACCTGAGGAGGAAGTTTAGAGTTGATAGTCAAGGTAAGAGGAATAATAGGAATCGAGGAGGGAAATTGATTTTGAATACAATGGTCCTCAATGCTGTTAGAAGTATGAGGGCGGTTCTCACTTCCCGGTTGTCCACACCGTGAAAGGATTCTCCCGGAGGTACCTGAAAAGGAAGTTGGATTGGAGCTGGTACCGAGAACATGACCGCAGTACCCAAAGGACAACTGTTTGAGGCCAGTCACGCACGAACTTTCTGTGGGTAATTTTTGTGTTAGCTCCTTACTTTTGAGACCTTACCGCCGGAGACGGATATCCGTGCGACAAGGAGAGGTGTGCATTTATAGGGTTTAGATTTCTTAATCCCACGCTTCTTTGCGAAAATGCAGCATCGCTGTTATGCCGTTTGTCCGAGGGAAACAAATTACTGCCGTCACAAGTATGTACAAAGAGCAGTACGACTTCGTCCTCGGACCTAGGTTTTGCTGCTTTTAGTCTTGCCGCTCAACCGTCCTGACTGGTATAGTAGGACCTTGGGGAACGATCGTTCCAGCCAGTATAGCTCGATTGGATCATCACGACAGGCAAGCCCGATCACCACGTCAAGGTAGCAGCAACGGTCGGGAAGTTCTGACCCGAGCAAGTGTTCGGGTAGAACCTTACAAGGTTTACGTACTTCTTTGTCTGCCTTTAAATGATAAACACAATAAACCCTTTTAATCAACATAGTCGGGTGGTGCCTTAACGTTACGAAACACAATTACAGTTTGGTATCGGTGCATCTACCTTCTAAAACTGAAAGGTAAATGTTTGGTCAATACATTCAGGCACATATACGAAACTACCCTGATTTTGAAGGATTCGCTCTTCATGGGTCCTACTTAAGTGTCAGGTGGTTGTTAACGCTAACAATCTAGATAACACCAGCTAAACTGACCCCTCCAGTTGTTACCAGAGGATTTATACTCTCACTGGAACGATCAGTTATCTATAACAGTCAGATGAAATTACGCCCAATCCCCTAATTTTCTTTAGTATCTCAGTCAGTTAAACAGCTAAAGCTGGATCATTTTTAAACATCTCCGGTGTAAGTCCACCAGAGCCTGCTGTTCTCGCGCTTTAGATCACCTACAGTCTTTGAACCCCACTAAGATTTGGGGGGAGTAGCGTTAATTTTCCGTTCTGGTTAATGGGTGACTGGAGACCAGTTGACTTGCTCCCTAAAGTATCTTGTTAATTGATCTAATCTGCTGGACTGAATGGATAATAGTTCCGTCTGGTTCAGAGACAGCCTGCCTTCTTAATACGTTTACCCGATTAGTTGGGATATTTGTCTAGTGTTAATCGGGATGTACAATACCGGGTATGAGGATATCATGGGACGACATGGACTGGGATGTCCATCCAAAAAATGGTTATATGTGGCACTGCATTACCCCACAACACGTATACAAAGCTACATGAGTCTCACCGTACCACACTACAGAGAAAAAATCGATCATATAAGTGTCACAAAAAATTCAGAACACCCACAGAGGACGTGAAAACAAAAGGAGGAACTGATATTGCTTGAGATACCATCTGATGGTTTCCAAGAGGAAACTGAAGCGGAAGAAACATTGGAAAACCGGAGCGACAGAACTGTAAAGATTTAATAGTCTTTTTTCCGGATACAAACACAACGAACTCAATATAGTTATCAGCATTAGGTTCCAAGCTTTACATGATTTACTACTATGCAGAGCAACTGGAAAGAGATCAAAGAAGCACTAACTTCAAAGTAACGGGATGTACTGGGTCTCAGGAAGCATCATCATAAGGAATGAATATCTATCGAAACTCTGGGTAGGATTCAAGGAAGGAAGAACAAAAAGACATCAGCCAACAATAGACGAACAAAAGCAGAGATAATAGAGGCACAAACTGAATACATATAAGCAAACATGCAATTGGAAAGAACTGGAGCTGACAAGCAGAAATACATGGAACACTTAGCAGTGGCAGCGTAGAAAGCCGCAAGAGGAAGTATCAAACAACTAAATGACACAATGAAGAAATTAACAAAGAAATATAGTAAACCAGAGGGACCGGTTAAAAACGGAAGGAAACCTAATCACTGAGATTCAAGAACAGGGGAACAGGTGGGTGGAGCACTTTGAAGAACTCTTGAACAGACCAACCCGAGGGAATCCATCAGACATCAAAGCAACATACACAAACTATTCAACAGATATCAATTCACCAACAATCGAAGAAATCAGCATGTCTACCAGACAAGAGTGGGAAAGCAGCTGGACCTGACAATATACTATTCGAAGCACTGAAGTCGGACATAGGAGTAACTGCAAGTATGCTTCACGTTCTATTCGGGACGACTTGGGAGGAAGAACAGGTGCCGATGGACTGAAAAGAAGGATTCATCGTCAAGATAACGAAAAAGATTTCAGCAAGTGTGAGAACTATAGAGGCATCACATTACTGTCAGTACGAGGAAATGTTTTCAAATGAGTGCTGCTGAACAGAATGAAAAATTCAGTAGACACACAACTTCGAAATCAACAGGTTGAATTCCGTGAGGATTTTTTATGCACAAATCAAATGTGACACTACAGATCATTGTTGAACAGTCAGTTGAATAGAACTCATCACTACACATCAACTTCTTTGACTATAAGAAAGCACTCGACAGTGTGGATAAGAGAACATTATGGAACATTCTTCGACACCATGGAGTGAGTAGCCGAAAAAATCGTCAATACCATCAAGAATTCATACGATAGACTACAGTGCAGAGTCTTAAATGGAGGACAACTGACAGATACACTCCTGATGGTTGACTGGATTATGAAGACCAAGATATCTGAGAGGAAGCACGAAATAACGTGGACAGATTGGATGTAACTATAGGATTTGGACTTCACAAATAACCTAGCTCTTCTATCCCATATACAAGAAAAAACAACTAGTGTAGTAGCAGTCTATGTACCAATAGGCCTCCACATACACAAGGTCAATAACAAAATGCTGAAATGGACCACGGAGAACACCAACACAATCGCACTTGATGGAGGATCTCTATAAGAGATGGAAACTTTCACTTAACTGGACAGCATCATCGATTTACAAGAAACGACGGATGCATATATATTAAGGGAAGTATTAGGAAAGTAATAACAGCATTCCTACAGTTGGACAACATATAGAACTCAAAACAACTGTCAATCAATATTTAATAAATAATAATAAATAACGGGATTTCAATCAATATCAAAGTCAGAATCTTCAATATGAATGGAACTGAAACTCAGAGAACTACTATAATAAATTGTCTACACAAGATACTCATTGTCCGTTGTTGACCGGATGCCATCAGCAACAGCCAACTATGGCAGGGAACAAACCAACTTCCAGATGAAGAGGAAATTAGGAGAGGACGTTGGAAGTGAATAGTACATACATTACGGAAATCATCAAAATGCATCACAAGTCAAGCTCTAACTTGGGACCATAGAGGTAAATGAAAAAGAGGAAGACCAAAGAACCCATTGCGTCGAGAATTGGAAGCAGACATGAAAAGAATGAATAGCAACTGGAAAGGATTGTCCAGAACAGATTTGGATGGAGAATGGTGGTGGGTGGCTTATATTCCTCAACGAGGGGTAACAGGCGTAATTAACGTAGTAAACTGTTACATAATTTGAATTGAGCTAAAATGTAAACTAAGCATAAAATGTTTGAAAATGCTGGTTTTTACCAGACGCTCACAATGAACGTGTGAGATAAATAAATTCTCGAAAACCCACGTTCACTCTTATACTTGTGTTTATATCTATGGGAATTGATTTATAGTCAAATTAAGTGATCTTTCATTAGATAAATCACGCCAACTATGTTTTTGTATCCAAAAAAACCCGTCTACATTATACTTTTCTAAACAATATAATATACAAATTGTGGTTTATATGTCTTAATTTAAAATGCGCTGATTCCAACTAAGATGAGAAGTATGAATAATTAAATATCTTAGAAGAGATTATTAGTATCTCATGAGTTTGTGGCAGTCATAATTCGATATAATTCTTAAACTTCGTATACTGCTCGTCCTGATAACCGTTACTAGATAACGCCCAACGGTCTATAAATCAGAAGACGAATACCAAGTATTGATCACACACAGATCACTAAAACCACAGGCGTCAAGAAAACCTGGACTAACAAGCTTATTTCTGGACATAACTTAACAAAAACCTTATCTCAAGGTACAACATACTGTCAATTCTTGCACAAGCACCGGGTTAGATAAGTTAGTCGTCTGGGGAGGTTTGCCATTTTGTCCAAGAATGTCAAAGCGACAGAATAACGTTAAGGTTTTTGAGCCAAGAAAACGAAAGAATTACGGTTTGAATATAAACACTTACACTTCAACTCATATATTTTCCAGTTAATAAGTTAAATATCGTAGAAAAAACCGACTTGTATTTTACGACGATTTGTGAAGGTATCAAACAGTATACACATTAAAATCTTATTTACTTTACAGCATTTTAGCAGACTCAGAAGGTGGTCTTATAATATTGATAACTTATCGAGTTGTGCTTTTATCTGTCGCTGAACTGGTCTTTACTTTCTCCATTAGTTCATTGATGTCGTGAGCCTCAATATCAGCTTTTATCCCGTCGAAACTTAATTTCAGCGTCTTTCTCGTTGTCGCGTATAACATTCTTGCTGTGGGAGGTGCAGAATCGGACACTCTAGAACAACAAATTAGAAAACATAAATGACTTCATACAATGAGAAGTATATTAAGTTCGACCCTTTAACACCTTCACATTCATAGTCTAATACACCATAGCACCCCTTGTCTTGGTACTTTATAACTTCATTTTGAAATTGTGATATACTTTCATCTAGGCGGATTAATTACGTTCAATTGAAAACAACCTCTAGGAGCAATTTTGATTACACTTATTTCATTATTAACGATCTGAAACAAGATATAGCGGTAACAGTGGTTCATTTTCATTTCTTTATACGTGGCTTCACATTCTGCTGAAGGTTTAATGCCTGAAGACTGATCGGTGATAAAAAGAAAACAATCTCACATACCATGTCTGGAGATATATGCCGTAAGGACCAGAAGCCACGCAACTCCCTAAGAAATTTGGATTTGTGCGTTTTCTGATTTTTAGTCTGAAGGTCAATTAAAAGTAATCATTGAGCAAGAAACAACATCTTATTTTAATTTAGGTTTTGATTTGAAAAACGTCTTCCAACTTGAGAAGAACTCATACTTTTTAATTTTATCTGACAAATAAGACTACTTTTAAAAGTTTTTACGGCAAATCACCTATTCCATTGTCAGTTTGGAAAGGACAGGAGAACATGTGTCCTGTGTTAGTCCTGAAAATTGCAATTCCTCCGTTGATACATCTTTTTTCGAAAGTCGACAGGCAGAGTTTTGATCACGTGTTGAGGAAGTGATTTCCACTAGATGATTTGATGGGAAAGTCAAATGTTTCATATGGTTGTGGACGAATAGTAGCTTCCGCTTAACGGGCTTCCATGTCTGATAGCAGTGGATAGTCATTTGATAATAATATTAAAAATCATATGAATGGATTAATTAATGAACACATATGATATGTGTCAAATGATTCTGACCAACCAGGGAACACCTCACAGCTAGTACCTTTCATGGATTAACTTTTCTTATTGTACGGGTAATATGGCTGCTTTGGTGACCGTACATCACAAACGACGCTATTAAAGTAATATATTGGTAAAATTAAGTACATTGGACATGCTCAACGGTTGTTTCTGACCTTGACGAGGATTATGAACTGTTTGATATTCTATGATGATGGATGATTTGGCTAGCGCCCACTTACATTTCTTAGGCCATACAGATAGATAGATAGATATCCAGCCATGTTTGAATGCATCATTGATATTCACACTTGTATCTAATTAGTGGCACAAGGCACTTTCGGAAAGAAAGTTATCCAGGAGACGTTTCAACCGGGGTCCAGTTTTACTGCGACGAAGGCTTTCTGGGAGTCTGTTCCATATAGTTAAATAGTGAATAACGGAGAAATTCTGACGTCCGTTTATGTAGGTCCTTGGAATGGAATGAATATCCATTTATTGTGTAAGCTGTGGGATTATATGATAGAGTACAAACGGCTGGATGTCAAACAGTAAGGGATACTATTTAAAAGTCTTCAGTTAATGAAAACGTTTGTTTAATGTGTCTGATCTAGAGAGGTTTAAACTTGGGGTTTTCGGAATAACACAAAACAGCTTTAGTGAATTTTCTTTGGACATTCAGTTTTCATCAATATATTATGCTTGCTATTGCTGTAGACTAGAATACCATATTCAAGAATGGGTATAATACTTTTTTCGTATAATGATAATAACCCAAGTTCTATATCAATAAAATTGACCATTATGAATTAAATGAACCTTCTTGCTTTGGATTGTGGTGATGCCGTATGTTCTGAAAAGTTTAAACTGTTGCTTTACCTCAAACCCAAGTTATAAACAGTGTTGGGGTGTTTCAGTATGTATACGTGCGGAACCGGAATTAGGTTATGGAAAAATTCCAAGTGCAATGTAAAGTATGAGAGTCCAGTCGTTAACCCAAGTTGAGAAGGGCTAATCAGGTCCAACATAAAAACAATAATTGCTGTTTGTGTATGATTTTTCCAAGACCCTTGATTGCCGGGACGTCAGGGTAATGAACCTATAGTTAGCAATATCGCTATGTAATTCCGTTTTGAAACTGAGGGTGGTAAACAGTGTTTTCGGTACTGATGGATAGGCTCCATGGTCCGTGGATAGGTTGGACAGTTTTAGACAGGATGACTGAACTTTTCTACCGCCACATTTCAAGAGTGATAAAAGAATGCCACTCGGTCCACCGTCGTAGATTTCTTCAGGGAACTTCTGAGCTGGTTGATAGTGATGCATATTAAATCAGTTGTGGATAGATGTCCATAAGTCAACGTTAAAAGCGCGGTGGAAAGAGTTTTGGTTTCTGTGTTGTGGCATCAAGAGAAACAGTGGCTGAACTGTTCACAAATGGTGCTATGGTCGTCTACAATGCTGCCGTTAATTATGGATAGATTGGTTGTATTAAGAGAATTTGATTTTGTGCGAGGTTTGAAAGGCCTAAATGTTGATAAGTCTGGGTTTTCGCTGCCTAAATCTCTATTCTCCACAGTCATGAGATACCTGCGCCGAGATGAATGATTTGTAGTGGTATTGGGTCTAATCACACAATCCTCAAAGCTGAACACGAGACGACCGGGAAAATAGATATTCAACGTTAAACTCAGGGAAAAACACGGCGATGGTGAAAGCAGGAGGAAGGAATTCATGACACAGCCTTGCAGGTGTGGTCATTCTGTATGACTTGTTTTTACTCATATTAAACATATTGCTTAATCTCCAGCCTGAGTGTGTTCTCCAGCATATATTGGTAATTGTTAAGACGAGATTCTTTGGTGTAGATAATGATGTGACTTCCATTCCCTAATACTCTGCTTCTAGGCAGTTGCAACAAGACAAATCTGTCATCATAGGATTAGGTCTATTCTTAGAGTAGTAATAATAACGAAGTATACCATAACTCTACAGATTTATACCAACCAAGTTATTTATGCTGTGAAGCACATACAATTCATAATGCTTGTGGAAGCGGTACTGTAATTTTCTCAACTAGTGACAAGGAGTTACGGATGCCGTAACAAGGATTTTCTGCATATTGAATTACCTTACTAAATGTAAAGCATAGTTAATTGTTTTGAAGAAAAAGATTTAACTTAATTCGAGTCTCCTCCTTCATAAAGGGTCAAGCCGAAGTTTAGTACAGCTAAGTTACGATCAGTCCGAAGAATTCGGAGTGTAGATTGCCTCTAAACGGATTTCAGCGGCGAGATTATAATTTATGGACGGGCCAATCAGAAGTGTTCCAGGGATGTAGAGGTCACGGTCCCACTTGCAGTAACTGATGCTCATGTACGATCGGCTGACAGAGGATTTTAGAGAGAGCGTGGTAATTGAGCGACTACAATAAACGGCGCTACTAAAAAGTCATTTTATTTGAGGTTGCGATGATCAAATGTCTTGTGGACATTGTGTAGACCACCGTGACGATGTTGCCTTTCGATGTAAAACGTGTCGGAGGAAGAAGTCTGCTGAAATAGGATTTTTTCACCCGATCTGGATTGAGGCTAAGGCAAATAATGACAGTTATTGATTATAAAACACCAGTAACACTGGCTGCTAAAGGGTACTACAAAATATACGGATGTTTAGAGAGAATACAGACGGCTACATAGACTTGATTATGTGCATCGTGTCGTTATCCACAAGTGGCATTTGTTGACGCAACATTCGAAGTGCGCACAAACAATACTAGGGCTATGTAGTGGAGACTGAAAGAGTTTTTGTGGCTTTATCGTAGCTTCAGAGGCCGACTATAATAAAGACATATGGATGATTCCCCTTACTGTATTCATTTTGATTTTAGAGCTTCTAAACCACTTTCTAACCTTGACAAGTTTTCGAATCATGTAATGGAAGTGTATACACTTTAATTCTTTGGTTTTGTATAATATATTTTTACTTTATACGGACTGTTTTCTGATCGGCTAATACTTCTCAAGGTCACATACGATTAATTTAAATGTCGTCCATAAATTATAGTTTCGCCGGCAACACATTATTAGTTATGGTATCATCTAAGTTGAGTGATGTATTAACGAAGCGCATCTATCCACATTTAGTCGTGTTAAGCTCCAACAGTCATTTTGAGCACAAATGCCCTACCTTGTTAGGCTCCAGGCTGATGCAATTTTGCATATTGTTCTGCTCATTAGGAGAAAACCAATGCACTACTTTAAGATCGTCTGCATACAGGAAGGGCTTACTCACACAAAAACATTAAAAAAAATATCGTTGTCAAAAACAAAAATGAGTAAAGGGACCAATACACTACCCTGTATTACACCACTTCTGACAGGGACAGCGTTCGACAAGGAAGAACTAATTTGAATTATTTGATATCGTTGGCTGGAGAAGTAATCAAACCAACCAAGAGGAAGGTTTCAGAACCCATAAGAAGCTAGTTGATCTATAGGAAGTTGGTGATTTATCATATCAAAAGCTTAAGAAGTGTCAAAGTATTAGCACTAAGACAAGGTATCCGCGGTTACGTTGAGCAAATAGTAAATTAAAGAAATCAAAGTGGTAGGTCATACAACATAGATTTTTAAGAAATTCATTTTGAGAATGATTGATAAATTTTTCAGTAAGCGAATATCTGGAAAGTTCGTCACTAACAATTTTTTCTATAATGCTAGATGTAACTGGAGTAATATTTATGGGCCGATAATTGTACATGTCAGTCTTATCTCCAAATTTGTAACGTCGTATGATATGTGTGATTTTTCAACACACACACACATACAGAGTTGACAGCTTTGGATGAAAAAGTGGAATATCTAGTCCACCATATTTGTGGTGAATAGAAGAAATCCCGTTTACTCCATCACCACTTGAAAACTTAAGGAAGTTTATCAGTTTACTAATTTCTAGGTATGTGAAAGAAATAGATTTTATTAAGTTACTGGTCACAAACATGACTTTTGAAACAGCGCTACTTAGGGATTCATTATTGCTTGTAAAAGTACCATTGAAAAGATTTGTAATGGGTTTGAAGTTGTTTATAATAGTGGAGCTCCTAGTCCCCGACCGTAGCTGCTACCTTGACGTGGTGGTCGGGCTTGCCTATCGTGATGACCCAACCGAGCTATATTGGCTGGAACATATGTCCCTGCAGGTTCTACCATGCCAGGCAGGTCGATTGGAGAACGGTAAGACCAAAAGCAGCAACTCAAGGTCTGAGGGCGAAGTCGTACTGCTGACTGCACAGAGGTGTGACAGCAGTAAGGTGTTTCCCTCGGACAACCAGCATCTGCAGCGATGCTGCCTTCTCACAAGGAAGGAAGGGGTTAGAAAAAGTTGACCCTAAAAATGTCACATCCACCTTACCCCACGGATTTCCGTCTCCGGCGATAAGGCCGTGCGCGACCGGCCTCAAGCAGTTGTCCCTTGGGCTCTGCGGTCACGCACCCAGGTCGTTAACACCAACAATAATCCGATTTCCTTTTCAGGTCTCTCAAGAAATACCCTTCCAGTGTGTGGGCAGCCGGGAAGTGGCATCAGCCCTCATACCCGTAACAGCACACGAGACCAAGTTGGTCACATTCAAGTCCTTCCTACACCTCCTAATAACTCTCATATCTCCACGACTAACCCTTCTCACGTCCCTTTATCACCTCGCACCTCTAGTGCAAACGATTCGAGTACGCGGAACGTTATTCCTGGTCTCCTGAAACCACGCTCTAAACTACACGTAAAAGCTTTCAACGTCCGAACACTGTGCCAAATAGGACAACACGCTTCCTTAGTTAGGACTTTAGAATCTCGCTCCATCGATGTGTGCTGCGTCTCCGAAACGAGCACACAGGATCCGGGTAGCGTCATTCATTTGATTTCACCATATCAAAGTAACGAACCAACTCGATTTAAACTTCGTGTATCTGGAAGCCCTGATGCTGCTTCGCGTGACCTCGCTGGCGTAGGTATAGCATTGAGTCCTAGGGCAGAGCTAGCTCTCTTAGACTGGATCACAGTAGACAGTCGTTTGTGTGCTGTCCGACTAAACGGAACAGTAAGGACTCGGAAAGATAGGGACACTCGTCGTTGCCTCTTCGACGTCTCTGCCTACTCTCCCACTGACTGCAGCTAAGATGATGTAAAAGATGAGTTTTACAGAAAGCTTTCCGACCTTTTCCGAAAAGCTAGGCGTTTAGATGTAGTAATAGCGGCTGGTGACTTTAATGCTCAAGTAGCTAAACTAAGCGAAAAAGAAAGACACCTGGGTGGATCTTATGGTGCCGCGGCTCAAAGAACAGCTAACGGTGACCGTCTGTTGCAGCTATGCTCAGATAACAGCCTGTTTCTTGCAAACACTAACTTTAAGCATAAGGAAAAACATCTTTTAACATGGCAACCCCCTAATTCGTCTCAACGCTGGACCCAAATAGATCACATCGCTATCACCCACCGATGGAGGGGCTCGATAGAAGACTGTCGCTCGTTATGGAGCACATGCTCAGACTCAGATCATGCTCTAGTGCGAGCGCGTATTTATCTACGTCTTACTGGACGTAGGAAAGATGGTACAAGGAAACCCCTTAGGGTACTACTTAATGAGAGTCAAGCTAAGAGTATATTTCAGGAGCAACTAGAAAAACAGTTAGGCAGCCATGTAAGTGATGCCCACCTCGAGGCAGCGTGGAATGACATCCGTAAAGCTGTAGAAACAGCAGTGATGTCTGCAAGTACGGTAAACCATAAAATTAGGGAGAAACACTGGATCTCAGTAGCATCTACCGCACTGATAGATGCTCGAAAACTCATTCCATCTGGCTCTGAACATAACGAAGAGTGGAGTCAGCTTAGGCGTAAGCTGACTAGAAGCCTACGCAATGATCGTGAACAGTGGTGGGTAGCGAAAGCAAGAGAGATGGAAAAGGCAGTGGCAATAGGTAACAGCAGGCAACTGTTCAGACTTGTTAAGGAAACCGGTATTAGGAACCCAACTGTTAGCGCAACAATCGCAGAGAAAGATGGACATATTATTCATTCTCAATCCAGGAGATTGGATCGATGGGCAGAACACTTTAGAGATCAGTTCAACTGGCCTTTAGCCACACTTCGGTTTCCCATGATATTCAGTCGATCTGAATCGCAAGTAAATGTAAGTTCTCCGACTCTTGACGAAGTTGAAAAAGCTATAGGAAATCTGAAGCGTCGGAGAGCAGGAGGCCCTGACAGTTTTAGCCCTTAGATTTTTAAGGATGGTGGTCCAGTATTAGCAGCGAGATTGACTGAGGTCTTAGGTAGAATCTGGGAATTGGACGTAATCCCACCTGACTGGTCTCAATCACTGATTGTGCCAGTCTACAAGAAAGGACAAAAGTTTTCTTGTGAAAATCACAGAGGAATTAGTTTGACTAATATAGTGTCTAAAATATTAGCTTCAATAATACTTCGACGTCTAACCAAAGCTCGTGAAGAGCAGACTAGAGAAAACCAGGCTGGGTTTTGACGTGGACGTGGTTGTATAGATCAAATATTCACACTACGTCAGGTCCTAGAACGTAGACACACATTCAAACGCCCACCAATTATAGTATTTCTCGACCTTAAGGCGGCATTTGACTCTGTTGATCGTGAGGTTCTATGGCAGTGTTTGTCACTGAAAGGAGTACCAAAGAAGTACATTAACCTTATAAAGGCTCTCCACTCAAACAGAACTGGTCGAGTGAGAGCTTACAGTGAACTGTCATCAGAACTGATTACCTCAAGTGGTGTTCGTCAGGGCTGTCCACTCTCTCCATTCTTGTTTAACTTTGTCATTGACGTGCTTTTAGAGATAACTCTTTCCACATCTGACTTTCCAGGGCTTGAATTTATACCGGGAAATTCACTTGTTGACTTAGAGTATTCGGATGACATAGTTCTATTTGGTGAGGACGCTGACAAAATGCAGAGTCTGTTGACCACTCTAAGCAACAATGCAGACATATGATTCTCTCCCTCGAAATGCAAAATGTTGCTTCAGGATTGGCTTGCATCGACACCTGAACTAGTGATAAGGAGTGAAGTAGTTGAGCGTGTCGACCGCTTTATTTATCTCGGAAGTCTCATCAGCCTTTGTGGTCTGGTGTGTGACGAAATCTCAGCACGAATACAGAAGGCTCGACTAGCTTTTGCAAAATTGCGTCATTTGTGGCGTAGGCGAGATATCCGTCTATCAACCAAAGGACGTGTTTACTGCGCAGCAGTTCGTTCCGTCCTACTTTATGGCAGTGAAACATGGCCGGTAAGAGTAGAGGATATTCGTAGGTTACTAGTATTTGATCATAGATGTCTTCGAAACATCGCTCGTATATCCTGGGACCACCGAGTAAGTAATTAAGTTGTTAGGAAACGGGTACTAGGTAAGGATGGCAAATCAATTGATGACGTAGTGAAACTTCATCAGTTGAGATGACCGAGACATGTGTTGTGCATGCCTGACCGACGACTATCCCGACGCGCGATGTTTTATGATGTAGGAGTAGGTTGGAAGAAATCTAGGGGAGGCCAGACAAAAACATGGCACAAATCCATGAAGTCATTGACAAGTGGACTGAGCCATGTTGGTAGATGTAGACTACTTGGTTGGAGACCGCGAGACGATAACAACCGATGGTTAGAGACCTTGAATGACATGGCTCAAAATCGTTTGCAATGGCGCAGGTGCATCCACTCTTTGTGTTCTCTCAAACTCTAATCTTCTGAATTCTTCATGTCCTTTATTTTCTTTCCCAATTTATTCCACTGGACTATACTCCTTAAATAACATCATCAAACCTTAATGTTCCCTGTCACTACTTATACTTTCACTACCTCTACCACTACGGGATTTGAATCGATAACTGAATCTCTGTGCTAATGTGGTATGGCAACTCGAAGTGATGTACGTACGCACGAAGTCACACGTTGTTACTGACTGAGTGACTGACTGGAGCTCCTAGTCATCATGCCTATAGTCTCTATATTCACGTGTTTTTTGTGCGGCTCGGTTATAAGAGGGATAGATAAGTAGAGCATAAACCACTATTTTATGGTCACTGCTTTCAACTTCATTATATACTTGTACAGATAGTTGGATTACATATCTACTAGGGTATGCAAAGCATGTATAAGACAACTACTTCCTCGTTTAGTTCGGCCTTCACAGCGATAGATCCGGATATTTAATCAGAAACTGCTTCAGAGCACCATGTTACAGTGATAAGTATGAAAGTGAGCCAGTGAAGCTAAGGTTCTTAGGGCTGACAGTTTGTTTAGAAGTGAACATGCATTGATAAACAATATTATTATGTATTTTAGATTTGCCTGAACTATGGTTGAATGTTTGACCGATCGTGTGGGCTTTGGCTTGAACAATCTGTAGTTCTAGTGAGATCAGGGATTTTTTAAGGCCAACAATTATTTTGATGAGGTGGACTAATTCGCAGAAATTGATTTGATGAACAGTTAGGAATGCCACCTGCTTGTTGAGAGTGAATTAGTGGTACGTAACCTAGCGGTCGTCATGTCTGTTTGGAAGGTGGTGGAAAAGGTTATATCTTGCAGATTTAATACGGAAGACGTTCGGAGGTGACCGGGGGACACATTTGTTCTTTGGAGTCTGTCTAATGTTATCCCTGCTTACACGGCGGTTGTGGTGGCCGTCTTGTGCGACGTTTAAACGAAATGTGCCCGCGATTAGTAAGGTGAAACATGTTGTCGGGAAGTATATTTTTGTGTGATAGAGTCACTGTAATATTTTCAGTATTGAGTGTAAGATCCAAACCAAGGTTTGGACTGAAGAATAGCTGTCTTGGTGGGTTAGATACGCGCCCTTGCCCGTTTGAAACCAAAACAAAGTAATCGGGTGAAATGACGGTTCTATAATTCATCATAAATTTAAATGTACATCGTTACCTAAACAAATATAACCACCCAGCTATCCAACCAACAATAGTTCAATTAATCAAATCTAAATTACATTAAATAAGAAAGTTGAAAAAGGATGCTAGAAAATTACCAATCGCAATAAATAAATGTTATTCTATCCTGTCTGGATAGATTACACACAGATTCGTTCAAAAGATAATGTTTTGTTGCTTTATAACACCAAGTGTTTTCAATTCTGGAAGAGTGCTTCAACTCACAATCAAAAATGCACAATTCCAGTCAATGCACGCAACACAATCAAAGGGAGGAACAACCCAATATAGCTGCCGCCAAGAATAGGTATCAAGTCAAACAACATAAATGCAGTTCAGAAAGAAACACGGAAACTTAGTGAAAGCGTAAGAAAAATAAAAACTATAATAAAATACAAATGCTATTAAATCAAGAGGAATGAAAAAGACTAATAAAAATGTACAACCAAAGGTATCAATATGAATAAACTGCAAGTATATACATGGAGGGATTTACACACACACAAATCATTCAAAATGGATCTTACACCGGCCCTCAAAATCCCTCCATACAACACAAGCCACCTTGATGCCTATGGTCATGGTTCATACTACAACATATTCTACTACACAGGAACGAGCAGGGCTTACAACTGTACGCCTACTCGACCTACCTACCTTGATAATAGCAAAGAACTAATTCGAACATTCAAGGAGACATACCTTACGTATATCTCTTGTAACTAATCCATTATTCGTACGAACAGTAACCGTCCTAACCTTTTCGTCGTTATCTATTTCACAACCTTCCACTACTCCTAAGGGCCACTTTCCACGGGTCGAAATATCCGAAGTCACGATTACTACATCTCCCTTTTGAAAATTGCGATGTTCAGTTAACCATTTTTGACGTTTTTGTAAGGACGGTAAATACTCTCTTAACCACCTTTTCCAAAACACATTAGCTAGATAATTAACCTGTTTCCAACGTTTGTCATATTTGTTTCGAACGCTACCTTCATCTACTATTCCGTCACATTCTCTCAATAACAGCAAAGTATTTGGCGATAAGGCTAGCTTATCGTTAGCATCTTGGATAACTGGAGTTAAGGGTCGATCGTTCAGTATCCTTTCTACTTCGACCAAATAAGTGCATAAAGCCTCGTCAGTTAAAGTCTGTTCTCTGGTGATCAACAATAACAGTCGGCGTATAGACCTAATCATCCTTTCCCATACTCCACCCCTGTGGCTGGATGAGGGTGGGTTAAAATGCCATTGAATCTGCCTCGCTGACAGCTCGTTACTTATCTTCTGCTGATTAAACTGTTTCACAAATTTCCTTAGTTCAGTGACTGCACCCACGAAATTTGACCCATTGTCACTGTAAATTTCTGCAGGTTTACCTCTTCTTCCAATAAAACGTAATAAGGCCATTATAAAGGAATCAGTATTCAAACTATACGTCACTTCAATATGTACTGCTCTGGTTTGCAAACAAGTAAATACACATCCATATCTTTTTTCTAATGACCTTCCTCTTTTGACTAAGAAAGGTCCGAAGTAGTCTACCCCTACATTTGAGAAGCTATACCAGCCTTGTTGCACTCTGCAAACTGGAAGCGGTGCCATCAATTGTTGTCCTAAATTCATCGTAAACCGTCGGCATGTCACACACTTTCCTATCACTCTTCTAACTGTGCTAGTTCCTTTTACTATCCAATAGCTTTTTCGAATTGTGGCCAGTACTTGAGACGTTCCTGTGTGCCCTTGTTCTTTATGATAATGTCTAATTATCATTTCCGTCACCAAGTGTCGACTGGGTAAAATTACTGGATGTTTAAAAGCATCGGAGAAATCTGAGTAGCTTAAGCGACCTCCAACACAGATTAACCCGTCCAGTATTATAGGTGACAATCCTTTCAGATCATTATGACTAACTACTTTACTGTTGGTTTTAAATTCACTAAATAATTCTCCATACACTTCTCTCTGAACCATCATTAAAATCTTACGCTTGGCAATTACAAGCTCATTTACCTTTAAGTATCCTAAATGAACGGATCCTTCCCGACTCGATGAACGAAGTACCATCAGGAATTCTAAGAACCTTCTAAGCCAGGCCACAGCCCTGACTAATTTCAACCACTCTGAATAATGAGAAAGAATAGGTGACATGCTATATTCCGTACTACTCAAGTTAACCACAGCAGTTTTTCTAAACTCAATATTGTCAGGTGTTGGTTCCGGACAATCAGTGATTGTTATACAAAAATTCGCCATGCAATAGAGTAGGACATTTAAACCAGGATTCAAGATCGTTCATTTTCTGTATACCTCTCGAGGTCCAATCAGCTGGATTCTGTGACGACTTTACATAACTCCATTGTTCAACCTTCGTATACTGGTGCACAACAGCCAGGCGGTTGGCTATGTAGGTGCTATATCGGTTTTCGGTATTCTTAATGTAGTATAACACTATCATGGAATCCGTATGGAAGTTTACCTTACAGAAAAAATTGGGCAGACTCCTACGTAAGACTTCACTTAGCCTAACACTTAGTACCACTGCCGCCATCTCAAGCCTCGGTACGGTGACTTGTTTAATAGGTGCTACTCTCGACTTGCTATACAACAATATACAGTATGGTGGTTCCTTCAAATAACTAACTCGTGCGTACGCAACTGCTCCATAACCAATCTCCGAAGCATCACTGAACAAATGTAATTCTACTCGACTCTGTTCTTGATTCCCCGAGCTACCGTAACATGACCTATCTGACGCATAAAATTCACCCAATTGAGCCACGTGGACATGTATGGCTCGTTGAGAGGCTGATCCCAACCTATTTGAGATTTACATAATTTTTGCAAAAGAAGTTTGGCCGTAAGGCAGACTGGAGCAATTAAATCCAAAGGATCGAACAGAGAAGAAACTACAGATAGGATCCCTCTCCTAGTCAAGGGCTTTTCTGGTGCATCAAAGTAAAACCTAAACACATCTTGTTTAAAATCCCACTCTACACCTAGAGTTCGATGAGTGGTGTAATAACTCATGGACATTTCTATCCAAGACTCTTCTTTACATACATCAGGCAGGATGGTATTTACTTCTTCCGAGTTGGTGATCCATTTCTTTAATTTAAAACCTCCTTTACGTAACAATTCACTTATCTGCTTAACAAACTCCTTCGCCTGATCGCAAGTAGAAAAGGATATCAAGCAGTCATCAACATAGAAATTGTTCTTGACAGCATCTACGACATACCGATCATAACCATCAGAGAATGTTTGGGCTGTCTTATTCATGGCAAAGTTTGCACAAAACGGAGATGATGTGGCACCAAATGGGTGAGAGGTCATTTGAAATTCAGATGGCTCCCTCGACATGTCTCCCTCCGGCCACCACAGAAATCTTAAAGCTCCTCGATCAGACTCAGGGACCTTCACCTGCATGAACATTTCCTCAACATCTGCAGAGATTGCAACTGCCTCCTTGCGAAAACGCAATAATATACACACTAGCTCAGCGGTGGTGTCGGGTCCTTGATAAATCATATCATTTAGGGAAACGCCTGAAAACTTGGCGGCACAATCGAGGACCACTCTAAGTTTTTCTGGCTTTTTCGGGTTTAACACGGCATGATGAGGCAAATACCATCGGGGGCGGTAATTAGGCTGCAATTGTATTTCAGAGACCTTCTCCGCATAGCCTTTACCAAAATTACTTTCAATACTTCTCGTATACTTGATGTGCAGACTGTCATCCCTCAACAATCTACGCTTCAAACTCTGTAATCTACTGTTTGCTACTTCATAATTCCCCACTTTCATATTTGGATTCTTTTTCCATGGTATAAGAACTACAAAATGCCCATTGTCGAAGCGCGTGCCTCTTTCCACAATCTCTATGGCCGCCTTGTCTTCTACCGATACTGATTTATCACCTGAATAGACATCTGCAAACTCCACATCATAAAGCTTAGGTATTTGGTTTTCCAATGTCTGTACTTTACTAGTAAGATTAACAACTCTTTTCCTAAATTCCGGGTATGATGCAGGTCCAAAGACAGTCCAACCTAGCAACGTTTTCACCGCGTACGGCCTTTTCCTTCCGCCCAACCGCTGGTCTAACACCCAATGTGCTTCCGGCACGTCGCAACCAATCAACAGTAGAACTTCTCCATAGTCCAGATTATCTATTGGTACATCACTTAAATGCGGCCACTTAACTAGATTGTTCATTGCCACCTTCGTTGGTTTGTGCCCTGGTATACTTGCCACAATCAGAGCTCCTTCAATTGTAATGTGTTCAGATCGATCTAAAGAAAATACTTCAAAAGGCGCATTCGTGACCTTTGTTGTTCTATTACCACCCACAGTCTCAACTACCACTGTCGCTTGGTCTTCCTTCAGCCCGAGAGACCTCAAAGAGTTTGATTTAATCAACGTCACATCAGAACCGTTATCCAATAGAGCATAACCCACAATTTCGGCATTTTCCGACCTCAACCGCACAGGAATAATTCCTAAACACACTTGACTATTTAGTGATTTAGTAAATCCGCAACAATTCTGAGTACCAGGTTTAGCTCTTGCGCCGTTGGTTGTTGAATCACTATGCAACAGAGAATGGTGTTTTTTCTCACACCTATCAACGTTACAGCGCTCTGTCAGTTTACATTCATTAGCTTTATGTCCTTGCCTAAGACAGACAAAGCAGATACCCTTGCTCTTTGCGTGAGACCATCGTTCTTGAACTGTAAGCGCTAAAAATCGTGGACATTTATAAACAGAGTGGTCATCGGAACATATACTACATTTACTTTTTGTGGTCAAACTATTCCACTGCCCCGATTGTAGGTGACAACTCGTCTTTACGTTATGTCCCCTTTTGGAACGATTTGCCAACCGTCCAAATCTACTACTGGCTACTCTCGCACGAGATGCTATAAACTCAGTGAGCTCGTCAAACGTTTGTTCTCTATCGTCTTCAGTCAATTTATCTACCAAGTCCGCCCACTGAACTTGCACAGAGTGAGGCAAAAGACTGACTATTCGCTCTAAAGTAACTAAAGAATTTAGATCAGCAGTATAATTCATCTGTTCCAAGATCATAGCACAATTTTCCATTTTCATAGCCAGGTTCGATAGCTGCTCTGCGTCATTACAATCAACATTTACTGTATTGAATAAGTCTTCCAAGGTTTCTCGAGCGATTACATGCGACTGTCCGAACAAACGTTTTAGAATTTCTCTGGCCCTCTTATAACCAACAGACGCTTTCATCATGACACAACCCTCTATAGCAGATTTTGCCTTACCCTTACAATAGTGTATCAAATAGAGCAAACGTTGGCTATCATCAATGACTCTTGACGCTACGTAGGTTTCACACTGCCTTATAAACTTCCAGTACTCTCTTGGCTGTCCATCGAAATAACTTAATTCAACCTTTGGTAACTCTAGACCTACGAAAAGTGTCACAGGCATGACGCTCTTCGCTTGCTTTACATCTGAACTAGGATTTTCCACGTCATCTGCCACTAAATCACAACTAGACTCACTATCATGATAATCAACCCTACTTGAGTCTGAACCATGACACTTAAGGACATCAAAAGGTACTTGCTTTGTAAGAAGGGATCCATCATTTAGTTTAGCTCCATTAACACCGAGCTTTGAACTTGACTTTCTTTGACGAGTGTTCGGCATCACGAGAGAAACGACCAAATATTTCCAGAAACGGCAATTAAAATCCGTGAAACGATAGCCAAACAACTTTGACCAATCGATATTTGTTTAGAACTGCAAGATCCAAACCAAGGTTTGGACTGAAGAATAGCTGTCTTGGTGGGTTAGATACGCGCCCTTGCCCGTTTGAAACCAAAACAAAGTAATCGGGTGAAATGACGGTTCTATAATTCATCATAAATTTAAATGTACATCGTTACCTAAACAAATATAACCACCCAGCTATCCAACCAACAATAGTTCAATTAATCAAATCTAAATTACATTAAATAAGAAAGTTGAAAAAGGATGCTAGAAAATTACCAATCGCAATAAATAAATGTTATTCTATCCTGTCTGGATAGATTACACACAGATTCGTTCAAAAGATAATGTTTTGTTGCTTTATAACACCAAGTGTTTTCAATTCTGGAAGAGTGCTTCAACTCACAATCAAAAATGCACAATTCCAGTCAATGCACGCAACACAATCAAAGGGAGGAACAACCCAATATAGCTGCCGCCAAGAATAGGTATCAAGTCAAACAACATAAATGCAGTTCAGAAAGAAACACGGAAACTTAGTGAAAGCGTAAGAAAAATAAAAACTATAATAAAATACAAATGCTATTAAATCAAGAGGAATGAAAAAGACTAATAAAAATGTACAACCAAAGGTATCAATATGAATAAACTGCAAGTATATACATGGAGGGATTTACACACACACAAATCATTCAAAATGGATCTTACATTCGGTCTGGAACCAGACGGTTCTGCATATACTTTCTTCTCACATGGTATAGGCATTCTAATGTTAACAGTGTTTTGAAAACATTTCACGTCAGAACTAGGTATTTGGGTTTCTAATGTTACAGTGGAAGATAACGGACTAATATCTCCATTAGATATACATTGGTTACCTGAAATTACTACAGACATAAGAGACAAGTTAGAACTCTTTATTCGTAAATCAGAGTACTGGCTAACATGAGATAGGTTAGCCGCATTAGTCGGTCCTGCTACTGAGGCAACGGGATTTATTTTTATCTCAATAGCATTATTTTCGTTCATGGTAAGCTTTTCCATAAGTCTTGGATCGGTGATTTTATCTGAGACTATACGAACGTTCCTTCAGCTGTTCAGCTAATAAACGTTAATCGAACCCAAACAAGATAGAACACTAGTATTTCTCGTTCTTTTCATTAAAGCGAATACACTGACATGGACCATCTTGAAGGTTATCTGCTTTTAATACAGGATTCCTTACATACTTAGGGGTGATCGTAAATAACCACGTTATTCCTAGAGATCATTTGCTTAATAGCGATAAAATCCTTGACAATAGCTATCTGAGGGGTGATAGTGTGTTTGTTTCTTGCTTGAGATCATCATGCTTTGATAGAACGCACATCACTTAATTTCTAGTAGATCTTGTCTATTTCACTCTTCATATTATCGATGCTTTTTGATCTTGATTTAGAACTCGTTATTAAATTAGAAACTGAGTTATCCAGAAGCAGATGTGGTGTTAGTCCACTCCCAACGTTATCCGGTTCAGAAGGAGTTACACAGTATGAGATATTGGTAATAATAGGACCGTTATTATCTGAAGGATTTAATATTTTCCAGGCTCATTGTTTGATAGTCGACTCATTTTGATATAAGTGTTAACCTTAATACTACTTACGATTTATACAATATCTACTTTAGAAACCGTCTTGTTGTAACGCAAAGTTCGAACATACTGCATCCTCAAAATTCTAATTTTAAACCAACTTGATATGTTGTCCTGGCGTTGAATTCGATGTAAAGCTTGGAAGAATTAAATCCCGTCCAATGATTTTAGACGTGTTTGGTTGGTGGGAAACAATGAAAAATGTGTTTGTTAACAATTCGTTTAAGTTAATATCCGCATGAGGTAGTCTATATATGAGTCCCATTAATAGGTAATTTTTCTATCCACAATTTACGGTAACCCAAATGGAGTCATTTTGTAGTGTCGATTACTATGTTAGGCCGACATTACTTATTCTAGCTTCTGGATAGGCCAGTTTATCCATTCTTCTTGAGTCACGTTTAACCTTGTTAATTATTCACTTATCAACCATGACTGTTTTTACGTAAGCGTATGTGTGTTCATTTCCTGTCTTACTCATCAAATATCTGTAACTTATCTTTATTCGGCTATAAATATCGATTAACACTTGATCAAATCGAGTTGGGTCATACTCCCACTCTACTACGCGTCATTTCGTTTCTCTCTCTTCTCTTTGTTTCTTCGATCATTTGTCTCGATTGACAATTGTACGAAATATATGTATTCAAGAATACATTTCCGTATGACTTATTTGACTCTGTTATTTACCAACGCGAGTTAAGTCGACCATTATATACGAGGATTTGCGATATGTATATCTCAATAGCAATCAGAAATGATTCAGCTAGAGTCAGATTTAAGGCCATTAAAATCTATAGAATCAAGACATTCATTCTCAAGTTTGCATCCTTGTATGTTCGAACGGACATGGATAGTTGCACCATCTCTCATTCTTTGGTATCTGTTAGACTGAAAGAAAACGTGTTTACGAAGTGGTCAGAAATGGATGATTTGTACTACGTTTCCTCAATAAGTACAATGCTTGGATTCACAAATAATAAAAAGGTTTTAAAATCACTGATTTTATTATAGAGCGGGCATTTAATGAAAGAATAAAAAACTGTGAGGTATCATGAAGGGCCAAGCTAGAGAATAGATAATAAGTGGTAGTTCAGAGGACACTCATGGGACTGGTCAATGCAAGTGTGTTATTAAGGGGAGTGAATTAGTCAGTTTTGCCACCATTTGTGGTACGTTCACCATTGCCAATAGAGAAGCCTCTTGACTGCTGTTGAATTTAACATCTGATATACGCATAGTGTACAACCTGGGATTCGGACCAAGAAGGCTATCAGGTCTGTATATGTGACTAAGTAGCTATTTATAATTCGAATTACTTTTTATACGTGATGTAAGTGTAATATGTTTCAGACGTTTATTTTCAAAGTTTGTTTTGTCTCCTTTGTAATTTGATGGAGAATTGAGTGTTATTAAGCATACTTCCGGTGGTTTGCCCGGTTCAAACATATCAATGTCTAGTACATGATCAGTTATGTAATTTTCGCATCAATTTTACCTGTTGGGTTTTGCACAATTACTACAATTGAGTGTATTATCTGGTTCATTATCAGTATAACTGTTTAAAATCAGATCCACATCAACATTTTTTTACAATGGCATCTACATCAGTTATTTTCTTTTGTCTGAATTTCAAGATATTTGGGAGAGTATGTCAGTGGTGGCGTATTAGTAGATTCAGAGGTTCTTTCAGAAGCAGACTTGATTCTATGACCTTGTGGTGGTCGGTATTCAATATAATTCTTAACTTCGTATACAGTTCGTCCTGATAACTGTCACTAGATAACGCCCAACGGTGTACTAATCAGAAAGTGAATATGAAATGTTGATTACGTTTATTATTGCACCATGCGCAGATAACCAAAATTACAGGTACGTTAAGCAAGCATAAAACAGTGGTGCCAAGAAACAAGCGGGCAAGCGAATCAAATAAGTGAACAGGACTAAAATGTGCATAAATATACATAGTGAAATAAATGAATCGTCGCATCAATTAAGCGACTAATGGCATGGCTAGCAGAATAAATATATGCTTACGCAGCAAGCAATGCTCAAGCATACATATTCATACAAGTGCAACAATGATAAAGGTACAATAGTATAAATAAGTTGTTATTGTACGAATGACTCTGTCCATTTAATAAGTTAACAAAAAGACTTAACCAGATTTAATGTGGATAAACTCGACTGCACGTGAGCTGCTATAACCTTCAGGATTAAGATGCATTTCAGACTTTGATGATAATCGTCCAGATTAAGTGACGTAGCTTATTGTTTCTACAAAATCAATGATTCACTTTCCTATTTGGTTTTTCAACACGGTTATTGGTGCTATTACATGTAATTAGATCTTCAAAATCAGTAGTTTTGTAGGTATTCGACATCGATACTTACCTCATTAGTCTCAGTGGACACAACCTATCTGAAGGCCGTCGGTCAAGAATCCGCAACTGAGTACTTCGTGCTATACATCCCTTGCAACAACTAGTCGGGTAAGATCATATGCTTCTCGACGCATCGACCATCTCCCCGATATATTTCCGAACATCTTCATTTCTGACTTCTAGAGTGACTGCCCTTGACATCATCAACTTTAAAGAGCGTTACGAACAGCAGCGTTGTAAGGCATTGAATATCCGTGATGTGTTATATGGACGTAAGCATGTCAATGCTAAACGTTGCATACCGACTGTGTTTCTGTTTATTAAATGTTTATCTTTATTATTTCGGTCATACTTATGTTTAGAAAATACATATTTAGTCTCGCAATCGATTCCTCGCGAACCATGGAACATACTTATTGTCTCCTACTTGTAGATCGGAATTTTTTACACAGCACTTTATAAACATGGAAAGCATGTTACACGATCTTTGAGCCATAGTATGCTTCTTTAATGACGGAATTTATGGATCTAGTATAACATTTTTGAATCAGGTTAGGAATAAAGAACAATATGATTCGGGACAAGCAAATAATAAAAAGTAATATTCAGAAGTATTTTGATTCATTTCTTGAATTTCTACCATGGTAGAATTTTCTAGTTTATCTACAGATTCTCAAAAAGATATACCTGTAAAAAATTCACAGATTATATTCAAACAACTTAATGTACACACGTAATAGAATAATCTTTTTTATGACATAGAAACACTTTTCAGCACATTTCAAATATAATAAGCAAATAAAGCATTCAATCAAAAATGCGAAAATTCTGCACAACAGCAATATATATATATATATATATATATATATATATATATATATATATATAAGCCTTTTTGCTCGCGTAAATTATATGAAACGTAATAAGATACCAATACCTGTTGCCATATTCCGTGTAGTCGACTTTGCAAATAACAAAACAGGCACTTTTTTTTGTATGGAGCTCATCATGTCCCTTTATTTTATTGAGTTCATCAAGAACTAAAATAATACTCTATTTGTTTAAATTGAAAATGAAAAGTCAATGCCTATTGGGATTAATTAAAACTGTTGAAAATATCATTATTATTAATGATAAAACAAGATGAATAAGTACAGCAGAACAAGTATAAACAACAATATGAATTAAAACAATGAAGGTAAGACAAAAAATGAAGAAGAATAAGAAGATAACAAAGAAGGAAAACAATGGCAACCAGGATTAAAGTGAAAATGTAAACGAAAAGTATCTATTTATATTATTGATACCCATGGACTGACATTACATAAGTGACAGTGCCGTGTGTGCGATTTATGAGATGCATAACTATGTATATATATTCAATAGGTTTAAACAAAATTACGAATTTGAACTTTACAGTTTGATGAAAAAAGTTGAAATACAAATATAATTTTATGTGGTAAACGCAA